CCTTGTAGGAGGAGAGGCGTTCTGGTTTTGGGTGTTTTCATCCTTTTTGTGCTAGTGTCTTCCCATCTTTATGGATTTATCCATCTGTCGTCTTTGTAGTTGCTGGCTTTCAGATTGGGTCTCTGAGTGGACGTCCAGTTTATTGATGATGAAGTTATTTCTGTTTCTTAGGTGTCCTTCTAACAGTCTGGTCCCTCTGCTGTAGGTCTGCCGAGGTCCACTCCAGGCCCTGCTTGCCTGGGCATCACCTGCAGTGGCCTCTGCGCTTTCACTGGGACCTGCCATCCTGAGCTGTTCTTAAATGGCCATCTTGGATCGATCTCTGAGATGGATTCTTGCTCTGTCACCCACACTGGAGTGCAGTGACACGATCTTGGTTCACTGCATCCTCTACCTCCCAGGTGCAAGTGATTCTCCTGCCTTAACCCCCAAAGTAGCTGGGACTACAGGTGTGCACCATCATGCCTGGCTAATTTTTGTATTTTTAGTAGAGATGGGGTTTCTCCATGTTGGCCAGGCTGGTCTTGAACTCCTGACCTCAGGTGATCCATCTGCCTCGGCCTCCCAAAGTGCTGGGATTACAGGTGTGAGCCATCTTGCCCAGGTAAGAGGGTAAATTTTATGTTAAGTGTTCTCATCACAAAAATGAATGAATGAGTGAATAAATAATAAATAAATGAATAGGGCAGGAGGAAGCTTTTGGAAGTGAGGGATATGTTTATGGCTAGATTGTGGTGATGGTTTCATGAGTGTATACTTAAAAAAAAACTCATGTTTGGTTAGAGAAACAATTTTATAAGTTAAATATAATGTTTGAAATTGATCGCTAAAATCAAATCCAATCATTCTGCAAATAAAACCCGTCAAATAAAATTAAATGCAAATGAATCTAGGTTCATACCGAAATTCATCATTGACTCTTTCTTCTTGAAATCCAATCCACCAACTTGTAGCATACTTTGATAGCTATTAAAAGAAAGAGAAAAAAGTCAGCATTTATTCCACTTGTTTTCCTTTTTTTGCTATTAAGATTAATGGGGTTGCTGTTAATAGCTTTCTATTCTTCATTATTTTACCCAATTTTCTAAGGAAGAGTATACTAAGGCCTAGTATCACAAGAAAACATGAAACTTCATTATTCTAAAATATTTCCTCCTCATTATGAAGAAAAACTGGAATCAAGCATGGAAAATAATTCTAGTTTCATACAACTTGAAAATTATTTTTTCTAACTCTATAAGGATTTTTAAAGTAATATTATAAATTAAAATAGAAAATTAATTTCCTGACAAAAATTTATTGACTTATCCTCTCAGTGACTTACCCTCTCAGTGATTTATAATTCATTGCATATGTCACATGTAATTGAAAACAATTCAAGATATGAAGGCATGATTAGTATAAAAATACTGAATTTTAGGTATTAGCCTGATTGTTAAGCTTTAAACAGTGTAAGCATTCCTCCGCATCTACATAGAGAGACACAGTATAGGACTAAAGGATACTACAGAATGCCCAGTGTTTGACAACTAGAAAATTATCCTTTTGACGAGTTCGTGTCCTTAGCAGAGACTTGGATGAAGCTGGAAGCCATCATTCTTGGACTAATACAGGAATAAAAAACCAAACACTGCATGTTCTCACTCATAAGTAGGAGTTGAACAATGAGAACACATGGACACAGGGAGGGCATACATGGAACGTGTATACCTATGTAACAAACCTGCACATTCTGCACATGTACCCCAGAACTTAAAGTATAATTAAAAAAGGGAACAAGATTTATATGTATCATCAGGAACACATTTCAAAATATGTACTTCTTAACATAACTTGAAACTCTATAACAAAAAATTGGAATTTTAGATTATAAATTCTATGTTAACAGAGTAATATAGTTACCACCAACAAAAAAGCCCACTTAATCTAAGGTTGTATGAGTAATGTTGTGGTGTTCAGAATAAAGATAGTAAAATTTAGTAAGTAAATAGAGCAACAACAACAAAAAAGAAAATTATCCTTTTATATTTTATTAATGTTACAGCATTATTAATCATTTGGACCTAAGTACAATAAAGTGTAAAATTAAATCACCATGTGCATGTATGTGAACACATGCACACACACACACACACACACACACACACACAATTAAGGCAGATGTAGTACTGACTTATGACCCAGGAAGTTGCAATTCCCTCTTTAACTATGAAAGAGAAAGAGGCAGTAAGGATTTTTCTAAGACGTGTAAATCAGTATACTTAATGGTGTGTGTGTGTGTGTGTGTGTGTGTGTGTGTGTGTTGAACTGTAACTTAATTTTTATATGCTAAAATCCTGTTAATTTGAAGGCATTATATATTTAAATTTGTACTCTCATTTCTTCTGTAAAGACTGGGGAAGAAATTTTACTATACATTATTTTTCCATAATAATTTTAGCTCTCCATACAACAGAACTCAATAGCCCTTTAACGATCTAATTTATAAACAGGTATTTTTATTCTGTAAACAGTATGGCTGTCATATCCACAATTTGAGAATAATTCAAGATGGAACAACTGCAATTTTGGATCCCCGAGGTGTTGTTTTGTGGACGTGTTCTTACATGCTGAATTCAGATTCCCAATGTCAGACTTTGGAATGGGTCCATTGAGACTCGTTGTGAACTCAGTGGGGGAACCACAACAGTTTCATTCAATCTAAAGAGATTTCATGTGCTACAGGACTGAAAATCATGACCTGGATTGTTCGCTGCCCCAATTAAGGACCTCTAAAGAGAAATTATAACCGCTGCATGTTAAGTGGCATATTTATTACCACCTCAATTATGGCATGGTAATCTCCACGTGACACATCACAACCTGTTGTGATATGGCACAGAACTGAACTTCATAGGACAAGCTAGAAGATACCCAGAATGAAACATCCAATATGAAAAGTGGATGTTTGAAATTTTAGCTTAGGAAGGCAAAAGAAAGACTTATTAATATGTATTTGCATAAAGAACTGTGACAGAGAACTAAGTTCAGGGCTTACAAAATGTCATATGAACATGCATTTATAACATCAACTACGTTTTGGTATATACAAATAGCCATTATAGTTAGCGTCATATGGAAACAGCATTTACCAAAAACAAACAAAACGCCCCAGTGACAGTCAATATATTAATCCATAAAGCAATATAAGGAAGAACAACCTGTCACCTTTTAAAATTTTCCCATTAAGAATGACAAAATGATATTTTGGAGGAAGACTAATAGATTTGATATGTATTTTAAAAAGCATTTAGAAATAAAAATTTAATAATAATGGTAATTGCCATTTCAAAATGATAATACTGCATAACAGTGTAAAAATGTCAGGCAAGTGGACTAATTAGCTAGTAGTTTGTGTCAAACAACTCCTAAAATGCTTGCAGCATTTCTTCAGCATTAATGTGATTATCAAGATGGCTCAAAAAATAAATTTACTCTGATCATGCTTTATGGTCTTCTTTTACTCAAAGAGTGAGAGAGAAAACATTGACATTCTTTTTCCAAGATGGAAATATTTTATTAAGATTTTTATTTGCATCAGATTTTTAAAACCATATCTAGTTTTCTTGTTCATAATTAATTTTCTTGACATTGCAACTAAATGTTTTTGTTTTTCACAATTGTAGTCACTGCTCTTCTTAGGGGAGCTATACAAAACACATTCAATTTTAAAAAATATTAAATTACTTATTTGTACTCTTCCTACATTTATAAGAGAGATGTGAGACAAAAGTGAGTGGAATGACCTCTACACATCTTGCTCCTCATCCTGGAATGAAATAATTTTTGGATTGATTGACCCATTCCAGTAGTACATTCTTAGGTATGGGGTTTCTTACTTACGAAATGTGCATGGTTACAATGAACACCACTATCACCACCACCAACAAGTGCCCAAGGTAGGCACAAATTATGCAGAAATAAGAATTTCTTGGGAAGCAACAGCTTTCTTCTTTCTAATCTGACACTGTTTTCCTTTGGCCCCTGCTATAGACTAAATGTTTGTGGCCCCTTAAATTTAAATATTGAAATACTAACTCCCAAGGTGATATATTACAAGGTAAGGCCTTTGGCAGGTGATAAGTTCATGAGGGTTGGGAAGGGCTCATGAATGGGATTAGCACCCTTAAGAGGGGCCCCTGAAGAGCTCCTTTGCCTCTTCCACTATGTAAGGATACATATGAACCAGGAAGTGGGCATTCACCAAACATCAAATCTGCCAATGCCTGGGTCTTGGGGTTTCCAGCCTCCAGAACTGTAAGCAATAATTTTCTGTCATTTGTAAACTGTGTAGTCTATAGTGTTTTCTTACAGCAGCCTGAAAAAACTAAGACAGTCTCCTGGCCCTGTTCTCAGTAGTTAAATCCTATACCTTCCCATAATTTTCTTTTGTAGCGCCGTGGGGAGATCAGTCAGCAGCTTACCCATGAAACTGACAGGGCATTCTACATCAACATGGCCATAGGCTGGGTGACAATTTTGCCATATAGGGCACCATAACGTTTGTCTGATTTGAGATCAGAATCCTCAATTAAATCATGGGGGTGGCTATGATGACTCAAACGGCTCAGCCTGTGGGGTTTCACCCTTCCCTTCTATGGGCGCCATTAACTCTACCAGCCCCACTGGCTTCTCAATTTCCAAAGATTAGGAGATGAATTAAGAGGAAAGGTGAAGACAGAAGATCTACAGAAGTTTCCAACAGAGCTTAGCTCTGCTGGAAAGATCAAAGAAGCCCTTCATTGTTCATGTCTGAGACAGAGCTGGCAGCCATCTTTTGGGGAGGATTTTGGGAGTAGCAGTTTGATGTCATGAAGACATCATGCTCTTACATGCCCTGATACAGCTGTTCCATTGTCACAGGAAGCACCAAGTAGGGTTTTTAAATGACTAGATAACATAGGAATCTAGTCATTAACATAGGAATACCCTGTCTCTACCAAAAAAAAAAAAAAAAAAAAAAAGACTAGATAAGTAAGATGGCCTGGGTTTCTTTCCAAATTCCATCATTTAGCTGCTGTGTAACCAAGTTGCTTAACCTCTTTGAAGTCTTAGCCTCCTCACTTGTAAAATGCACCAATAATAGACTTCCCACAGAGGGTTCTTGGAAAAATTACATTTTAGTACTCACAGTACCTGACACAGTTATGGTAAGTATGGCCAAATATCAATTCTTTTTGGGATGTGTACTTTGCGTGCCTATGGATTAGTTTTCAACCATTCATCTGGTCTCTTGTTATTGCCTTCTGAGGTAAGGGGTATGGTATCTGGCTAAAGAAATATGTGTTTTTGGTCTGGTGAGGTGGCTCACACCTGTAATCCCAGCACTTTGGGAGGGTGAGGTGGGTGGATCACCTGAGGTCAAGAGTTTGAGACCAGCCTGACCAACATGGAGAAACCTCATCTCTACTAAAAATACAAAATTACCCAGGCATGGTGGCACACGCCTGTAATTCCAGCTACTCAGGATAATTTCCGACATCGTGGTATACAATTGAACATGCTCATATTGAACATTATGGTTTTGGCTCGAGTGTTCCATTTGTAAGAGTGGAAAGGTGACAAAATAGTGTATACATTTATGGTGGGGAACATTCCAGATCTAACGGTTGTTCTGCCACTTAGTGTTTGTGAGACCATGTGATTGTTACCTAACTTCTTTTCTTCTTGGCTTTTCCATCAGTATATGATAGGAGTCACGACTTGCTTGTACCTTGTGGGCTGTATGTGCAACAGACAGGATACAGAGACACTAAATCCCCATGAACTGTGAGGAAAGACATTTCTTTTTCAAGGCTAGGATGCTTTAATACAGGGCCTCATTTTCTGGTAAACTTACAAAGATATAAAAAGATGATAGAGCTAGAAAGGATTACTGAAGATTCTGAAATGTGATTAAATTATAGGAAAAGAAAATGGCTTTTTCTTGCTTTCAGAGGTTTCCAGGGGAAAGTTGGAAGTGAGGATTTCCCTCCTTCATGGCCCCACTGTAATTTGTACATGTGCCCTTTTCACTTACTATATCATATCACTTCCACTTTCTTTATCTTTTTAAATTTAATTTATATTTTAAAAATTGACATAAAATTGTATGTATTTATTGTGTACAACATGAGGTTTTAAAGTATATATATCCAGCCTTTTTGAAAACAGAGATTTGCATCTCATACATTTTTCCATCTTTGACAAATATTCCAGTGCCTGACACATACTTGATAATAAATGCTTATTGAAGGAACACACTGAAAAATATGCTATCTTTGCTAGTTTATTTTACTATTCAATAGGTCTTGAATGTTTCTTTCTTACTAGCCTAGTTCTGCAAGGAATTAAGTAGCCTTTCTTTACCTTAAGTTGAAACAGAAAACTACTCCTTACTATTTTCTGTATATTGGTCTTTACAAACTTAAGAATAATGTACTTTTGTAAGATTTGAAACTTTAAAACTGCCAGGCACCTCCCAAGTATTCCTCATCCCTTATTTGAGCTTAATTTTCCTCTGTGGCATTTATCCACTTATTTTTTCCTAATGTACTATATAATTCTATTTACTTGTATTGATTATGGTCTTTCTTCCCAGACAAGAATATAAACTCCATGAAGATAGAGGAATTTGTGTCTGTTTTAATCACTGCCAGAACCCTAATTCCTAGAAAGGTCTTAATAAATATGTGTTGAATGCTTGAATGAACCTCATGAAACAATCTCGACTTACTCACCATTACTGCTAACAAAGAATGAAAAGAAGTGAAATGACAGAGCAGTACAGTAAACATGTATCTCCATGATTTTCTCTTAATCTCTATAACAGGAAGAAAAACAACTCTCAAAGATCTATGGTTTTTACTGAAATTTAAATAAATGTCTGAAGTGAAATAAAAAAAACTATCCCTCCCCACCCCCCACCCCCCTCAAATAAACTTCTTTTGTTCTTTTAGGACAAAAGAAGGTGCTAAACTTTGAATTTTTTATGGTGAGTTATGTTCAAGTACCGCTTTTATTTTGCTGTGGATGAATTCTTGCTCCTGTGCAGAATGAATTGTCAGAAGATCACTGTGTAGCCAGCTACAGACAAACTCGAAGTTAGACCATTCTGAGGCAAAGTTATGAAAAAAGTATTCTGCATTCTGATGAAAGAGCCAGGGTACATCTGAAAGAAAAAGAAACAGTGAAAATAATGCCAAATTGATTGAAAGAGTGCAGATTTAAATAGGTATGCTAAGATTGACCGCAAATTATTGATTTGGTCACTCAGCATTAAAAAAAATTATATATATACACACTCATGAATTTGAACACGCACACATCACACACAGACACACACACAGACACATATGCACATAAATAGATATATAACTTGCTTACTTTCCTTGGTCTGTCTCTTACAAGATACCTTCACTAGTATTAAAAGCTCAGGGATAGATACGTATTATAAAATCACACGTCATAAAAATGATTGAAGATACTAGTCCTTAATCATATTTAATGGCTACATTTATTAATTATTAATTCAAACAAATTAGCTCTAGGTTGACACAAGAAAAGAGAGGCTCGATTTGAGAAATGTAACAACACATGGTATATAGGAGCACTTGTAAGGTATATATTAATAATTAGAAATTCAAGAACTGCAAGGGTAGTTCTTACCATACTGGTACCAGAATGGAATCTTGGGTTTCACATCTGCAAAGTGAAAGCAAATCACTTTGACTGATCTTGCATCTCAAGTGCATTGTCTGTGAATTACTTCAGCTCTAAACACACTGTTTTGTCCTTCATCTTTTAAAATATCATTTTAAAACAGGTACATTGTGCTGTTTGGAATATGTGGTGAATTCTCATACTTGAAGAGGAGGCTCCAGAGAGGCTTCTGATTAAAGAAGGAAGGGCATGAGCACTTGCTGAGGGCCCACTGTGTGTCATACGCTGTACTAGGTGCTTTCACTTACTCATTTTACAAGTATCCCGTTTGCTTTGTAATGTCAAAGTGACATTTCTCCCAGACTGTACTTGCACTATAAATATTCTGCAATATTAGCTGGTTACTTTAGTTCCCAATGAACTAACTTGGCATATTGCATTGGTATTGCTTTCTCTCATTTCCTATAGAAATATTTTTTGCTAAAATAGTGCAATTGGGTTTATCATGCAGGTTGTTGATATGGTGGTTTGGGGTGCTTAAATTTTACTTCTCTGTAATCCTTTACTTGGGAAAGTACTAGAGATTATTAGAAATCAAACATATAGCAAAGATCTTATTACTATTTTTACCTCTTGGGATTTTGCATATCCATTCACGTTTGGAACCACAATGTAAGGGCAACAGTGTTTTGTTTGCCTTATAAACAGCACAGTTTCTCGCATCTTCTCCAAAATAATTATTGTCTAAAAATGAAGAGACAACCTGCAGCAGATAAAGTTCATTATTCCTTACTGATGATCCCCCACAAAGTTTCCAAAGATCGAAAAGGGCATTCCTGTACGTAAGCATTATAGGCTTCTACTGGAAGCTTCAGAAATGTCTAGATGTCATTCTAGTTGAAGGTTGTTTCACATTTGTGAAGAACAAGCTAATCAATATTTAGCATGTTTTTCTTAAAGATGCTTAAAAAAAAACAAGTACGCTACTCCTTTCTCTAGAAGGAACAAATCAAATGAAGCTTTGGTTTGAACTTGCACATTTTTCTAACTGGGAACATTTTCTAGCTTAGGATTCTGAGTAAACTTCTTAGGGACTCAGGGGTGTGTCAGATCTTCGTATTAACTTTGATTTTGATTAGTTTGCACATATGCTAAGCTTTTTGTCTCTAATAACTAGATTCTAAGCCATAGCTAGCTTTAATCAGGAATCTATCAGGTCACTATCCATGAGTGACCACATAACTCATATAATTCATATTACAGGAGTATTAAAGACTCAACCTTCTCAAATATTTAATGACTACCTCGCAGAAGAATGATGGACCACAAGTAAAATTAGGGTAAAAATTTGGAGAAAAAAAAAAAAGGATGTTTTCAAATCCTTTATATTCTTCCTCAAACATGTATACCGTCATGCAACAATTCATCTAACTTAAATATATATAGCCTCAGGTTCAGAAAACGGTGTGATTTTAATTCATTTTGTCCAGCAGAGATTGGTGAGAAGCTCAGCTACTGCTTTATGGCCTTATCTTATTTATTCTGACCCAGATTGTCTATTCCTCTCCAATTACTAATGAGTTTGTTATAATAAATCAAAAGGAAGCCTTCTCAACCTCTATGCAACACATTTTCTTTTTCAAGTGCTATATTGACTTGAACCACCCAGCTGTTCCATGTAATGGCTGCCATTTATGGGGAAAGTTGACCCTGCTATGCCTTTTCTGTTTTCTGAGACTTGATTTCTTTATCAGCAAAATAGATTAGTGGGGCTGAGTGACCTTTAAAATCTCTTCCTACTCTCTTACATACACCTTTTCCTCAACACAAATTTGAACACCATCTTGGTACAGGGCTTTCTCTATTGCTCTTTACTACTTCAAAGTTTGGCTACTGATATTTTGCCAACCATGAGATATTATAGCATTGTGACTTTGGAGTCAGACAACCTGTGTGCAAATCCTGGCTTTCCTATGTATTATTTTAGACAAACCACTTAATAATTCTAATATCCATGACACTGAGTTATTGTAAGGATGAAATAAGATCATGTAGGCATGCATTCAGCTCAGTGCTTAGAACAGTATAAGGGCTCAGTAAACAGGAGTTACATCAAATGCTCACTGCAGGCTCTTATGAGTTTCCCCATTTCACGGGTGAAAGTGAATAATGTGACTTTTCTTGTGCTCTAGGATAGATCCCACTTCAATCTGGGATATTACTTCAGTTTCATCCCTGCTATTTTGAGAAAAATGTGAGAATTACCCATTGCACCTGAAAAAAAAATGCAATAGTGAGTTCTCTTTGTCCTTCACAGAAGTTTGCAAGTGTGAGGATGAGTGAAAAGGAAGACTTTTTTTCTTCTGGAACAACTTGCTGTGATTGAGAAGGTGATATTTCTAAAGCTTGCATTACTGTCCTTTTAGAGTGAAATAAACAAAAAATCATTCTCCAAAATAGTCTCCATTTCACTTTGACATGGGCAAGGTTCCCATACTCAGAAAATCAGGTGCCATGCAGGATAGAGAGGTATAGGGTAAAGGGAGTATTGTGTTATTTTAAAGAATAGCTGCTTCTCTGCCAGAGAAACACTTCATATGGGAGATGGTTTGGGAGACTTTTTTAAAGAGGTTTTTGATTCTTTTTCAGGATGGTTTGGAGAGACTTTTTGGAGGTTTTTAATTCTTTTTCAGGGTGGTTTGGGGAGACTTTTCAGAGGTTTTTGATACTTTTTCAGGCTAAGATTGTACAGTGGCCTCAGAACAATGTGGCTACAAAGATTTCCCAGGACCTTGCCAAAATAATTCTCCTGGTACCAGGGTCTGGCGTAGTTTTGTCATGGGAGCTCTGGTCATCATTTCTAGCTTCTCTTGGTTGGTTTACCAGGAGGTTTCAGGGCCACTTGTTTTGAATCCATCCCTTTTCTCCAGGTTTGAAAAGACTTACAGGAGTTCTATCAGACCATTCCCATGAGCCAGCATTCAGTGGGTTTCTTTTATTAAATCCAATCCAGAACTGCCTTTCTTCTGTCCTGTGAAGAGAAGAAGCAAAAGCTTTACCTTTCCCATCAAATTTACAGCATTATGTCAAAGGTTTGAAAAATATTTTAAAATATTTATGTATGCCGGAAACAGGTGATGCTACTGGCAGGATTGAACAAGTCAACAAGCATTGAGCATTTTTAATGTGCAAAATCCTGTGCTATGACATGAACTGAGAGAAGAATAAACCTCACGTTCTATTTCTCTTGGTTTGTGTGTTTGCTTACAGGTGACATACAGCTGGGGAAAATTCAGCTTTTATTGAGAATATGAGTTTCTCATCAGGAATAACAATTCCTTTCAGTAAGGACAAGAACACGTGAAAAGAAAATTGGTAAGAAATTTTGGAACATCTCTAGTCAAGAGGACCTTTTACTGCTTTACTGTGTGTTTGCTACTTCACTATTCTGTTTATTCTACTTTACTATGCTTTGATTTGTTGTTCTTTTTTAAAATGTTCATGTTTACTCTGAAAGTTAGCCACCATCATTCCCATTGAATAAAAGTTAGCCACCATCATTCCCATTGAACCTACATAGTAGGTTTTGGGTTATTTATTTATTTATTTTTGAGACGGAGTTTCGCTCTTGTTACCCAGGCTGGAGTGCAATGGCCTGATCTCGGCTCACCACAACCTCCGCCTCCTGGGTTCAGGCAATTCTCCTGTCTCAGCCTCCTGAGTAGCTGGGATTACAGGCACGTGCCATCATGCCCAGCTAATTTTTTGTATTTTTAGTAGAGACGGGGTTTCACCATGTTGACCAGGATGGTCTCGATCTCTTGACCTCGTGATCCACCCCCCTCGGCCTCCCAAAGTGCTGGGATTACAGGCTTGAGCCACTGCGCCCGGCCTTTTTTTTTTAATCAACATAAATAATTCTAAATCAAGTCACCCTGACCCTTGGTAGATTAACCTCATTTGTTACCATTGGTTTAGATTTGGCGAGAAGCTCCCCAGAGAATCACCTTCCCTTCTATGAGACAGAGTACAAATGTGTCCACAGAATACTCAAAAAATCAAGTAATAAAGCCTAATTGTACAATGAACCATCTCATTAAGATATTTTTCTGAGAATAATTTTGAAGAATCAAAGATGTAAATGATTCAGATATCAGGACAGATACTTTATTTTCCTTTGTGTAGAGAAGCAAGCCTATTCTGAATAATTCCTTCTCAGATATTTCAGGTACTCCACCTGGATGACACAAATTAAAGTCAAATGCAGCTTAGAAATCCAAGAGATCACTGATGCCCAGTTGGTCACTGTCATGATGACACTTTACATTTAAGGTTGGGAGAAGGTGAGAATGGCCACCTTCAGTTTAAGCCAAGCACATTAATTTCCATGGCACAGGCTGAAAATCCATGTCCCTCTCCCAGTGTTGTGAACTTTTTCTTTCCTCACTGAATTCAGAGTTCTTTGTATTTCCTGCTATATAGTGGCTCCTAGAAGATGAAATGGTATTTACTTTCTCTTCATCAGTTGCCTAAAATAGTATAATTTTAAATAAACACACATGTATGTGTATACGTGTGTGTGTGTGTGTGTGTGTGTGTGTGTGTGTGTATGTGTGTATCTGGTTAATAAAATAGAAAGGAAAAGCAGCATACCTGCCATACCTGATAACTATGAGATCTGGTATGTTTGCTATAATGAAGCATCAGATTTTACTGAATTCCCTGGTAGTCTGGGAATAAAGTGAAACATATACAATTATTGATAATTTTTTTTTTGAGACAGGGTCTCACTGTCACCCAGGCTGGAGTATAGTGGCACAATCTTGGCTCACTGCAACCTCTGCTTCTTGGGCTCAAGTGATACTCCCACTTCAGCCTTTTGAATAGCTGGGACTACAGGTGTGTACCATTAAGCCCGGCTAATTTTTTATTTATTTTTTTATTTTTTGGTAGAGATGGGGTTTCGTCATGTTGCCCAGGCTGTTTTCTAATTCCTGGGCTCAAGCAATCCGCCTTGGCCTCCAAATTGCTGGGATTACAGGTGTGAGTCACTGCGCCCAGCCAATAATTTAAAAATATTTCTTTAAATACGGTTCTCACTCTGTTGCCCAGGCTGGAGTGCAGTGACATAAGCATACCTCAGTGAAACTTTGAACTAGGTTTTGCTGGGACTACAGGTGCGGTGGCCACCACACCTGGCTATTTTTAAAATTTTTTTGTAGAAACTGAGTCTTGCTATGCTGCCTAGGCTGATCTTGAATTTCTGACCGTAAGTGTTCCTCCCACCTTGGTGTCCCAAAGTGCTGTGACCCACTGTACCTGGCTCATTTTATATAGATTTTGTGATCAGATATTGAAGTTCAGTGATTTGACAGATGCTTGGCACTAAATTCTACTAGACATTTCAAATGTGAGAACTTATATAAACAGAAATGACAGTGATATTTGATCTTAGAGCAAACTGGGAAACAGTTTGTGTGGGTTGTCACCTGGCAAACCTCACTAAAAGGCAAGGGCAGAATATGCAAATATGTTTTGCAGGGAGCTAAAGTAATGAAGCAAAGTGTAACTTTGAGCAATGGAGACTATCACCTATCCCTTGGATTTGCGGCCTCACACCTTGCTGATAATCCAATTAGCCAGGAAGCTTCTTAAGCTTTTCTGCAGACTCAAAGAATCTGACTCAGCACCTCTGGTGTGAGGCCAGAAAGCTCTGTATTAAAAGGTGTCCCCACCAAGTGTGATGAGCAGCCAGGTTCCTGAGTCATGGCCTCAGATCAGCATTTCCTGTAGGGACTAGCAGTTCTGTGGTATGCCAATAAGAGTTCTAAAAAAAGGGATTTGTGGTCAAAGATAGTGCTTCCTTCTATAACCCTTTGTGATGTTAATGTATATGGCAAATCTCCAAGATTGTGCATTGTTTTGCAAAATTATTTAACCATAAAATCCTCTTCCTTCCCTGTAGAATGCTGCACAAAACTCACATGGAGAGATGTCAAAAACTCCCAGGTTTAAGGTCATTCTTGTGGATGTGGAAGATGAATAATTTGATAGATGTCACATGTTAATCTTTTTATGGGAATGTGCTACAAGGAAACTTATGGGAAAGGCCAAGATTTTCCTCAAAAAATAGTATGGGATTTTTCTCTGGGATCCAGACAAGTGTTTCATTGAGACTCCAGCTTTCCAGAGCTTGAAGCAGAGTGCCTGTTATTACATTTGTTTTCATTAAATACATATACAGAGCCATGGAGGTCTGCTGATCACAACATCCTCAGAGGCAGGGTTTTGTCTGTCACATCTGTTGAATTCTCTAACCAGCTATGCATGTAACTGTGCCCCTTCCACAGAGGATACTCTCACAATGCAGGCTAACAAGAACTTTCCAAAATGAGAGGCCAAAGTGGGGGATGAGGAGCTCACTGAAAGGAGAGAAGATAACTGTCTTCAATTATTTTGAAAATAGAGAAGATTTGATCTGTATTTGCTCTAGCTCAAGCTGACAGGGGGCAGGTTTCTGGCTTATGAGAAAGCTGCTCTTTGAAACCAGCCTTCAGCAATGGAATGAGCTTTCTCCCAAATAAGAAGCATTCTGAAACTGCAAGGAATTATGCAGACAGTGGATGACCATGGTATGTGGTGGGAGGTAGCACAAGACCTTTTAGAGTTCTTCCAATTTAAACGTGAGTTTCTAACTCCACTGAATTCAAGGTTCTGTAAACTTGCAAGATGGATACAGATAAGCAAAAGCTTGTTTCCCTAAATGAAAACTTAGGAGGTTGGGTTGGAATTTTAAAAAAATTATTGGGGCTCTTTTTTTTTTTTTTTCAAACAATATCTTACATAGGCTCCAATTATATACAAAATAATTAGCAGTGGAGCTGGTAAGAGCCTCTCTGGTGAGGCGTGAAAGGAACCAGGAGCTCTGCCTATGTTGCCCTCATACTCCTGGGGTTCCAGGATTCTTGGAATCCTTCCAAAACACTTTGAAAACCACCGGGGTAGATAATTTCTGAATTTGGCAGGAAAGCTCTACAGTTCTGACTTGAAGGACAAAGAAAAGATTTAAAATATCTAAACAATTGTCACTTTGTTCTTTGTTTTATGAAATGAGAACTTGGTACAAGATAAATGTAAAACTATATATGTATATATATTTTTCTTGGCTTTGGGCTTAACACAAATACTGGAATTTTAAACAACTACTTGGGATGCTCACCCCTAAGAAGGCTTTACTGGGAGATAGAATATTTGACTGTAATTTTTTCATAATTAACAAGTATTTACCAATTAAATTTTGAATGTAAGAGCTCATTCACAAAATTCTCTTCCTCAATATGGGCAAAGCTTGCAAGATGAGCTCCAAATTCTTCACAAAATGCTTCAGCTTCTCTCCATGTTCTTTTCATCAGAACTTTTTCACTATGAAATACCTGTATAGTAAAAGAAAAGAAATTAACATTGTCATAGACAAGGTGAGGTTGTTTAACTCTGCTCAAGAAAATAACAATATTAACATAAGCATCATTATTCTTTATTAAGAGCTTGATCTAGTGAGAGGAAGTAACATTTACTGAACTAGAAACTGCCTAGGCATCATAAAACTATTAGTTACTTCTATCCTCACAACAAATAAACTCAGTTTTATAAATGAGCTTTCTGAATAATTTTTTTCACCTTAAGTCCTCTGTGACTGGCACGTACTTGTCCCACAGTAAATATTTGTCAAGAGATAAATAAAGTCAGTCCAAGAGAGGTTAAGAATTTTAGGTCACACAGCTATAAACTGGCAGAGCTAGGATTAGACCTATGACTCCTTGCTTCCAGAGTCCATAAACTTCCATCCCACCAGGCTGCCTTCTGACAAATTAGAATTAGTGGATTGATCATTACTCTGGCTGACTCAGGGAAAGAAATGAGGAATGAGGCCTGGGATCTAGGGTAGCTCTATTTCTAGAGTCTTTGGATCTTAGTTCAACTGGCAGGTGCAGTGGTTCAGCTGTGTCTAAAATCTCTGCTACTTCTCAGCTGTCTTCATAGTGGCTAGAAGAAGTCAGCTGAATAGAAGGTCTTCTTTTGGCTTTATTTAAGATTGGGGAAAGAGACTGAAGACTGAAGACACAGGGCTTGCAATCCCAGTCCTTTGAACTCTTCTCATTTTTAACTGCCTGGCACTAAGCCTGAACTTTTGTTGCCAGACAGGTACACCTGTGGCCAGCCCTCACCAGACTCTTACTTGCTGAGACCAGAATGAATAGCTTTCCAAATCCTGTGGACCACAGCACAACCTTTCCATCTTTTAAATTATATGTCAAAATTTGCCTCCTTTGGGAACCTCTTCCCAAATCACTCTAAACTCATAAATCCTGCCACCATACCCATCACACACACCATGCATTTGCTGACATATCAGGGTGATATATAGTAGAAAAGGCACCGGACCAGAAGTCTAAAACCAGGGATTTATTCCAACTCTGTCCATAAATAATCATGATCTTGGGCAAATCACTACATTTCACAGGCCTCAGTTTACCCATCTCTGAAGCTTAACTTATTACTTGGTGAGGTCACTTTTGGGCCTATTATCCTATGACTATAATGCAGGATTATACATGAATACAATTTAAATTGAGCACGTTCACAGCTGCTTCATGTTATCCACAAGCTACAACAGTTCCGGAGATGGAGTCTGTCTTCGTTCTGCTCTGCCTGTGCAGAGCTGCTGGGGAGGTTTCTCCCAAGATTTAGTGAACCCCTATTTGGAAAATAAACCAAGACAAAACCACCAAACATTTTTTTAAAGCATATTTAAAAAAATGTATTTCTGACAAGATTATAGGAACTAATTTAAATATAGGACCTAAAGCTGATTTTAAAAATAGAGATTTCTTCACACACACACACACACACACACACACACACACCACACCACACCACACACACCACACACATACACTCACACATACACATATATGCACCTATATATACTCATACAAATCAACTGCATTGATTTGTTTGATCTTTGGGTGTCTTGCAAGCTGCAAAAGCTATTCTTATTAGTAAAATTGTATCATTCCATAATAAAGACTTTATTTATTGGCTTAGAAACAATATGAAAGTATACCATTTAACTCCCATTGAGTGTCTGCCTCCTTCACTTGGTATATGAGCATTATTGACAGAGGCTTCAATATTGCAGGAGGACAGGTCCTCAAATGACCCTTGCTGACCCAGCTCTTCCTCCTTTTCCTGGCAATTCTCAGGCCAAGTGTATCAAGAGTGCAATACCCTGAGATATGGAGGAACTGTCCTTATCCCTCCTAGAACAGGATGTCTTGCAATGCTTTAGCTCAGTGATCCAAGGGACACCTGGGATATAAAACGCAGAGAAGAGAGCTTTGGGGAGCCCTCGGCTGTGGTGCAAATTGGGGCACGTGCAGACAAGATTCCATCTTCCTGGGGCTGTTTTCCTGAGCCTTGGAGAATGACTCACCATGGATCCTAGGCTTCAGCTGCCTTTTGCTGCCTATCTGTGAATACAAAGTTGAGCATCCCAAATCCAAAAATTCAAACTCCAAAATCCAAAACTTTTTGAGCAGTGACAAGACACTCAAAGGAAATGCTCACTGGCACATTTTGGAGTTTGAACTTTCGGATTTGGAATGCTCAACTGGTAAGTTCAATGCAAAATTTTTTTTTTAAATCCAAAATCTAAAACATTTCTGGTTCCAAGAATTTAAGAAAAGGAGTACTCAACCTGTAATAAAGTTACTTTGCCCGTATTCTTGTGTGGGAGTTCTGTCTCACCAGATTCATACTCTGGCAGCCAAGTTTGTGCAAAACCTGCCAGCGCTAGGAACCTATGCAGAAACTGGTCAGGTGTTTAGAATCCTCCCCCAAGAGTGATAACCAGTGCATGGTGATCTTCTTCCAGGGATTAATATTAATGCATGGTATTTCTTTTCTTTCCTTTTTTTTTTCTTTTGAGACAGAGTCTCGCTGTGTCACCCAGGCTGGAGTGCTGTGGCTCAGTCTTGGCTCAGTGCAGCCTCTGCCTCCCAGGTTCAAACAGTTCTCCTGTCTCAGCCCTCTAAGTAGCTGGGACTATAGGCATAGGCCACCATGCCTGGCTACCTTTTGTATTTTTAGTAGAGATGGGATTTCACCATGTTTGCCAGGCTGGTCTGGAACTCCTGACCTCAAGCGATCCACCCGCCTTGGCCTCCCAAAGTACTGGGATTACAGGCATGAGCCATTGTGTCCGGCAAAATACCGTGCACAGTATTTCTGTTTAACAGATAGCAATCTTCATGGGGAAGCCTTCAATATTCCCATGATGTGTCAATTTTTGTGACTTAAAAATTATTTGGAATATGATTGAAAGGATAGAGGCAGGCAACAAATATTGATTAAGCACCTGCCATCTGTCAGGCACTGTTCTGGAAAAAAAGCATCCTGGAATAAAGGAATTTGGGCTGCATGGGTCAAATTAAAATGGTGCTGGTTCTGTTAAGAATGCCCAAGTAACCTTGGTATCACCTTGAAGCAACTGGCCAGACCAGGCTTTGATTCCCAGTGCAAATAGCAGGAGTGAAAGGGCCATCTCTCTTCATGCTCTGCTTTTTCCCGATTTTCAACTGGCTGCTTGCACAAGGACATTGCCTTAAAGTGCCGACAGTCCTTCACTTCCCAGCGACCAAGTGGATGCCTTCCTCGCATGGCCACACAGCCACCACTGTAGCCTAAAAGCAGAAAACAAGCACTTTTAATATCTGATGACTAAAACGTTTTGAGCTTAGAAGAATGCTCTTTAGAGTGCTGAATAATTGACATCCCATAATTAAGCACCCAGACAAGAAGAATCAAGATGAAAAAGAATGCCTTATTGACCTGATTATGTCATTTCTCTTCATCCCTGGAGAAAAGAATAGAAGATGGGAAAGAGAGAAAAGAGAGTGTGAAGGCTGAAATATGGACCTTGTCTGCTTTGTACTCAGATGGCAAATGATGAGGAACTAGGAGCTGTTCCTACCGGGAATCAAAATATCCCCCATAGCTCAACATTGTACTTGGAAATCTCATTGTGAAAAACCAACAATGAAAAGTACATCGTGCTCACCCTTTTACAACAGGATTCAACAGGGGAAAATGTGTGAATAACAGATTCAAGGTAGACCAAAAAGTATACAACAGAAAACCAAACTGTAAACCTTGGAAGGATGAAGAGAATGAGATAAATTCTCTGAATGAGGTAAAGCTATAGGGGCAGGGACAGGGCAGACATCAGGGAACAGACAGAAAGAGAATTAGAGAAAGGCTTTTCTGTGAAAAGCAAAGTACAGAGATTTTCCCTCCTACCTTCATAGTATATAGATTAGGTATGGACAAAACCCCATTTTTTTCTTCATATATGCTTGAACATTTTAGAAGGTAAGATGTATTTTTGCATAGAAACAATTTATAAATTAAGATTCTTAAACTAAATTTTGTCACCAAAATCTATACAACTCATATGAAAACAAAAAATACACTTCAAACTTCAGCGAGGAATAGCAGAAAGCAGTTCTATTCCAAAAAAAGAAATTAAAATGAGTAAGAATGAGCTTGTTTTTTTTCTTGAATCCTGGGTGATCATTTAATTAACTAAATTCACATTCATCAACAACAATAAAAAATTGTACATCTGCATAGCTGCTTTAAAGAAAAGGATGAAGCCAAGCAAAACAAAAACCAATTCCTGGTTTAGTGTGAGATACAGACACACAAACAAGCAATTGTAATAAGTATAATGTGTAAAGTGCTATAGTAAAAGATGTGTTCAAAGTTCTGGAGGAGACATCAGAAGGGGTGATGGAGGCTATCCAGAGATGTCAGTAAAACATTTGCAGGAAGTGACATTTTAGCTAAATTTTGAAGGATGAAAAGGAGAAATGAGTTTTCAAGGCATGCTTATAAAAAGCAAGCGATTATAGATGAAGCCTCTGAAGACTTGTGATGATTCTGGACCTGAACGCTTTTTTAAAAATGTCGTCACTCACTACTCAATATTTATCTTGCTTAATTTCCCTTCAGAAGTAATGGCTTCAATTTTTTCAGATACTGGGTAACTGGCATTGTGCTTGTCATCTATGTTCTGATTGTTTTATGCTCATGGAAAGACAAAAGAGAGGGAAAATGAAGAGTGCAAGTGAGAAGAAAGAAGACAAAGGAAGATAGAAAGAGCATCTCTTTAGGAATGGAATAATTTGCTGAAGAATGAGTGCATGAGTGTTTGCTTCTTCAACAGTCTTGGCTGCACAAGTGTGTTAGGCACCAGCATCACCATGGCAAGATGGTTCTGATCGGGAAGATCCTCCTGGGCCTTTGTGATGCATCAAACTCTCAAAGGTAAAAATGGCCAGTGGTAAAAGAGGAAACACGCTATGTCTCATATAGAAGAAAAGGAAGTCAAGGAAGAGTTGGTGCATCCAAAGGCCATCAGATGGCTCTACTGGCCCAGAACAGCTAGTTGTTAAAGATGCAAGGTTGGGGGCAGGCAAGAGGGAGAGATTATGGTATACAACTACCCCTGCCATGAATGGAGCTTTGCAGGCCTGCAGGTAATTTCAAAATGCAGCTCACAGTCCAGTTGGATCATAAACAATAGAGGAGATGCTGCATGCTCTGTGCAATAAAACTGAACCGGAGAAATCCATGAGAAAGCCCCAAATAAAGTATATTTGTGGAGCTGCTCTAGTTGAAAGAGGAGGGAATACACACATTCCTGCTCCATTCCTCCAGCCCCAGTGAAACCTCCAGTTATTGCACAGCACAGGTAGGAAACCTCATGGAAAGAACTTCTGACTTGGAGAGTGAAATTTGGGGTTCTAGTCCCAGCACAAATCTTTAGTAACTGGAAACTTGAGGATGTGAATTAATCACAATAGGCCTTGTCTAAAATATGTGGACAATAATTTCTTTTTTTCTGTGGATTTTCATGAAGATCAAATGAAATAATGAATTGAAAAGCACTCTGTAAAATATGAAATAAAAACACCCCTACAAGGTTGTTATTATGCATATGGCAACTTTCATTACAAAAACCAGGATTCTGTGGCATGAGTTCTGCCTGCATGTTCAAAGAATTTTTCAAAAGTTTGAATCAGCAAGTTTGAAATGTAATATACTTTTTTGTTGGTCTTGCATTTTGTCTCACTTTCCCACATCAGACAATGATTAAATAGCTTTGGTTTTAGATGCTCTAAGATATTCGACTCATCTTCATTAGTGAAGAAGGAGATGTTTGTGAACTGCTATGAAGATGAAAAGTGCTGCAGGAGTGTTATTGGTATTCTAAAGTGGTTAACTTAATAGAACATTTGACCCAAATTTTGGAGTCTCAGCCCCAAAGAAGCAGTAAAGTGGTATAATAAAGGAAGACCAGGCTAAGGGAGAGATAAACTAAATTTATAAGCCTATATCATGGGTATGCTTGCAAAGCCAAATAATAAGGGTAAGGATGTGGGAAAGAGGGGAGGCAAATTTTCTCTCAGAGAAATTGTTCTTAAATTTGATAATTCACTTCCCATTGGAGAAGTAAAACAATTATTCTCAGTGGTGAGTCTCACATTTCAACAGATTCTCCTTACCTGCCATACCCACACCCCACTCACCCTCTCCCACAAACATGAATGGGGAGACTTTCTGTCACTTAAGATATTCTAATTCATCAAGTTACCTAACCATGCAAAATTAAGTGAGCTGTAAAAACCTCCACTGTCCACCTCTTTGTTCAAATACCTAAAAACAAATCAACCGACCAAACCTCTTTGTGCTGGTTTTTCAGTGCCTCTAGACAATTATTTCACTTGAGTCTGCCTACTTATTTTCTGGTTCCCTCCAACAACTCTTTACATCCTCATCTCTCAAGTTCTCTACCCTCTTACCTTCCCTCCTTCTCCTTTTTCTCTTCTCTAACAAAGAAAGGTGAAGCTCTTTGGGCAGGCAAGGTAAGTTTCCTGCAGTGCTGTGTATCTGCCAGACACTGTGATGGGCATTTAATATGGTCTTTTTCCTATTTAATTTCAGAAATTCTTTGAGGCAGGTATTAGTGCCTGCATTTTGCAGATGGTAAAATTAGGGAACAGAAGCTTAATAACTTGTCAAAGGCCACAAAGGTAGTGGGCTTGATCCAGGATTTGAAACTAGATTTATTTGGGTCTGCTGTGAGACAATATCAAGGTACAGAGTGAGTGGGTGGGTATTCGATAAACAGTTGAATAAATGAATGAATGAGTTCCCCTGAAATCATGCTCTTGTTCCACGGAGCTCTCTCGCATTCCCCGATCATGTTTCTCTCCTGTGTGTGGCCAAAGCATTTCCTTGAAGATCTACTGTCACATTTTTACCTTGCATGACAGTTACTTATATGATGATGAGGAGATATGGAAATGTTCTAAGGGCTCTTGGAATGAGACTGGGTTTATCCTCATTTATGTGGTGGCTCATTTCAGAGCTCTGACAATCCTTAAAACAGATTGGCCTCTAGTGTCTGTTGATGGGACAGGCTTCCTACTACTCCCCACTATGTACAGGGCACTTTGAAGAAAATAAAACTGACTTGCTTTACTGGGATTTTATTTTCCTTGTCACTTGCAGATTTCCATGTGCTTGAAACAACCCTGGAGTCATCCAACACGAGTGAAACGCGCCGGAGGTATCTAGGTCTAAAAACAAAACATTTCACAGACCCTGAGTTACACATGGCTGCAAAGGAGTGATTGAAAGTGTTTATTGTTCTCGATACAGATACCTATGAGCCTCTAATATAACTTGGAAAAGTGTTTTTGAATGTCTTAGCAAGTATAGACTCATCTATTTTCTTTCACCATAGAGCAACCTCCACTTATATTGAATCTTTAATCTAGGTACAAAGTACATTTTAGTTTCTAAGCATTAGCTTCTCCTTGAATGAGAAGCTAATTTATCATCTTTCCATTTGATCAGTGGCAATGATTAGTATGAATGAAAACCATTTTTCCTGTTACACCTGAATGTTTAATTTCTCTTGAAATACCAAGGGTCATAGAGTCCCTTTGTCGTTGTTGCTTTTTAGTAAAAATAACAGGATTTTCTGGTGTTTTGAGAATGGGAAATTTGACATTAAAGAAAGGAAATACAGTTAAAATATAGGTTAATTAACTTTGTAGTCCTGAACTCAAATTGTAAGTATGAGTTTGAACTCAAAAAGTGTTTAATCTTACACACACACACACGTGCGTGCACACACACAGACACACACACTTCCTAGATCTGTCCCTGAAACGGCCTAGAAACAATAACAAACCACAAACAACAAGCACCCACAGGCCCAGACAGTGATGCTGAAATAATATCATCTCCCATCAAAAGAAACCAGAGTTCCTTGAAGCAACGGATGTTTCTAGGTCTGCAGCAGAAATTTATATCTTGTCATACCAGATAGCAAGCACACTATCAAAGACTAATAGGATCACATCACAAGGAGTCAGAAGATATTCCTTAAATAAATTCCCATCACAAAGATGGGGCAATTCGATCATTAAAAAGGATAATTGCAATGGGTTAAAACATATCAAATATGTTTAAAACCCTTACTTCATAGTAATGCTAAAAAAAGAAAAACACCTCTAATGTGTCACTCATGAAGGATGCTAACGAAGAAGTAATTATTTTGAAAACTAGTAAAGGGAAAGAACTAAGCATTTGTTTTGTGTTTTCTATA